TTTTTTTTTTAAAGGAAGCATTTTAACCATTTTTCTGTGAAATGATTAAATGTAATCAAAGCTAATATTTAAAAACACTCTATCTACAACTCAGAGCAAGTGACAAGCAATATAGCTCCTGTTTCCAATATTTCACACAAATTCAATGCATTAGGTAGGAACTTCACTGTACACAGTTGATTGTAATGTTACAAGCAACTGGTGTTATCAGTGGCAATTTGTACGCCTTAATTGTTTGTTTAAATAGTCTTGATGAAAGTTGACTGGACGGAGTGAGAACCTAGATCTAAAACCCTATCAGGTTCTAAGGTTCTAGATCCCAGCTAAGGCAGAACCTGCAACAGAAGTGCTACAAGATTCTTTTTTGCCCCTCATTTGACAATATATCGAAGAAAGTATGTTAGCTGACTCTGCCCGCCTTGCAACCAGCTATGTGAGGTTTGCTACTGCTGAGTGGGGGCATGGGACTCACTCACCAATGTAGAAGTTTGTGGCTGTGCGCATCTGGCGATGCTTGCTGATGACATAGATGACCAGGCCATTCCCCACCAGACCCAGCAACATGATGAGGGCGTAAAAGAGCGGCACCAGCCAAGCATCGGTCAGAAATGGGGGCGAGGTCTCCTCTCCGCTGTGGTTAAAGATCCAGGACTGCGTCCCGAGCTGGAAGGCACCTGCTGCTTTCTTAGGCTTGGTGCTGATGGGGTCACTCTGCGGGGCTACGGTGGGCTCGTCCATCCAGCTGCCCCAGGAGGCCTCGGAAGGCAGGGGCGCCGCAGCCATACGCAGGGGCAGCAGAGGGCTAGCTCCACACCGGAGCAGCCCTGCTTCCAAGCGACGCGCGGCTGCGAGACCCTCAGTTTCAGCAACTGAGATCGTCTCTGAAATCGGAGCAGGATCGGCCAGGCAGCTCCTTCCTCCTTCGACAACCGGGAGTCTCAATCTCTTCTTAGTGGAAGAGATGCGCGGTGCGTCTAGTAGTCCCGCCGCTAAGGCAGCCGGCTGCCCAAAGAAGAGACGGGAAGCCTGCCCTCCCCTTCAGGGAGCCTGCCCTCCAGGTTCAAGACACGGTCAGCGAAAGCCGCTTTCCCCGCTTGCTTCTGGTACTGCAGCCGCCGCCACCGCAATCGCCAGAGTTAGGCTTGCGGGCGCAATGAGCGGAGAAGCGCATCTTCCAGGATGCGCCGAGCCTGCGGGACTCTTGGCATAGTCCGCCCAAGCGCAGCATCCCGGACTTTTTCTAAGAGGCTCCCACGGCTGAACTTAAGGAAGAGCGGCGCCAAGAGCGGCTTTGATTGGCTCCCGAGGACGCTGCCGCAAGCGGCCGACAGATGGAAAAGGTTCATCGCCGAAGATAGTCTGTTTGGCGGTAGCCCCAAAGAATTAAGGCTCGACGGAAAGCCGAGTTAGCAGGAGAAATAACCTGCCCCTCTGCAAGTTCCCCTGGTTTTGCGGGGGGTCCCTGCAGTTCCTAAAGGAGAACGGGAAGACCTAAAGGTTGGGAGTGGCTTGCCTCAGTGGGCGGGGGTCCTGCTTACTTGGGTGAGTGAGGCTGCTCAAACTCTTATAACTCCCCCGTGTAATTCAAGAAATACTTGGAGGACTGCAGGTGGTCCAGACCAGGGATCACTAACCTTTCGGACGTCAGGGACCACTAAATTCATAATTTTAAATCCCGCTGACCACTAATACGAATTTTTTAAAAAACATAAATAGTATTTAGTGCAATATTAAAAAAAATACAATACGCAGGGGATATTTACTAAGTTGGAGGAGGGATGTTGGATGATTGTACATGTATACTGCTATTTTTTCTTTTTTTATGTATATTGAAATGGAATTATAAATACCATCAACATAAAAGGGATTTTGCTCAGATGCTGAAACACTCCAAGTGAATTAGAGGAAGAGTGGGAAGTAGAGGAGAGAAGAAAGATAGGAAGAGAGGGATAGGAGAGAGGGTGAAGGGGGAAGATGAGGTGTATAAGGAGGAGGAGTAAGGGGGAGAGGAGAAGGAGAAAGGAAGGGGAAGTAGAGTAGAAAATNTGAGATTTGAACCGCTGACCTGCTGATCTAGCAGTAGCCTGCAGTGCTGCATTTAACCACTGCGCCACCTTGGCTTACAAGACCCTTGCACCCCTAACTCTTTAGAGAAAAAAAACCCAGGGATGTTCAAACTTGACAGCTTTAAGACTTGTGGACTTCAACTTCCAGAATTTCTCCTCCAGTCATGTTGGCTCAGGAACTCTGGCATCGAAGAGTGCAAGTCTTAAAGCTGTCAAGTTACAAGACCCTTGTACCCCTAACCCTTTAGAAAAAACCCCAGGGATGTTCAAACTTGACAGCTTTAAGACTTCAAGGTTTAGATAGGACTCTTAGAGGCGGGCAGGGCGATTGGTGAGCCAGCCAATCAGTGAGCGGCAGGCGGGGCAAGCATGGTGCAGGGGGACAGAGCTGGAACCAGTTCTAAACAGCATGGTAGATTTGTGGAACCTCTTCTATAGAAGAGGTTAGAACTGGCAGGAACCCATCCCTGCTGCCAGATCACTTATCTCACAAAGCTGATCTCTGGGGTTGGAGACCTAATGGGTTAAGAATCAGATCCCACCTCCCCCTGCCACCTGATCCCCAAACGGGGACAAATGGCAGGAGAAGAATGGTAATCAGCTCTTTGACTTTCTCTTGCCATTTCTTCTCGTCCTACAATTGGCTGCCACAGCTCATGCAAAATCGGGAGTGACTTTTGACAGACAACTAAACCTCTTAAAGCTCACTTGATTCCCAGATTCAGCCCTCAACCCAGAATGACTGGTCTCATTTCCCATTGGTTGAAATATTTATTCAGAGTAGAAGAAGCAAAATTGGGGTGATTCCGTCAATCCTGTTCCTTAAATTTCCCTTTTCACAGTAAATGAAGGCAGAAACACTTAGCAGCTTCCAAGAGTGGCCAGCAATAGGGCAGCAAAATTTGTAATTTGTAATTTTTTATCCACTGAAGGACTAATAGATTATACTTTAAGTGAGCTGTGGATGAGGAACCCAAAATACCGTATGGCGGTACCAATGTCTACAAGTGTCATCGTATTTAATGCAATGCCACACTTAAGTTAGAACAGAGAATATTTGATGAAAATCATCTGGATTCAAGTCCTAATTTCAGAGAATGATTACACAAAAGGGGCAAATTATGTGTACCAAGGTTCTAATAGGGATGGAAAGTGGACTGAGATTAACTCTGAAAGAGGAAGCATACAGCTTTTGTCTAGACTAAGTATGCATACTTTTTTCATAATGTGAAATTATTTACATAGAATGGCATGCATAATAATGCCAGATCAATTACTAGGGATATGATACAGACTACCTCACTTCTTCTGATGCATATGGTTGCCCAGCTTTGTGAGCTACAATAGACTAAACCAAGAGTGAGGAACTTATGGCTCTCTGTGAAACATTGAATTTCTATTCCCATCAGCCCCAGCTTTTGTGGCTAAATAATGATGAGAGCTGGGAGTTGTAGCACAAGTTTCCCAATATCTTATGAATTAGGTGTGTCATATGAATGTGCCAGAGCTTGGGAACAATAATATTTTTTAACCCAGCTTATCTGAACGTATTGTAAATAGCTGTGGAATGGCCATCATCTTAATATAGTCAGAATACAGAATAACAGTTGGACAGGAATTTAGAGGTCTTCTAGTCCAACCCCCTGCTCAAGCCATGCTGGACAAAAGGCTGTCCAGTCTCTTCTTAAAAGCCTCCAGTGTTGTAGCAACCACATCTTGAAAACACTTGAAAAATGCATTGAGGAATATACTGGTTTGCATTACTTTCTGATTGGTAAAATCTACCTATCTACCTACCTACCTACGTTTAAAGTTACAACACACTGTGGATTTTTACCTAGCAACTACTGAGGAACTTAAAGAGCAACACATCAGTGTAATCTGGAAATGCAGTAAGAATGTGTTTTTTTTTTTAAAGGAAGCATTTTAACCATTTTTCTGTGAAATGATTAAATGTAATCAAAGCTAATATTTAAAAA